GACATACTATGAGAACAAAATGGAGCCCACTGGATTTGACAAGATTACCACAGATCTTGACAAGAACCAATAAGTGTGGAGATTCACAGGAGCCCTACCAGAGTCAGGAAGAAATGGAATGTGAGAAAACGTGTGTGTTCTAGCTACAGAGGGGAATTAAAAATGACTCAGCAGTATGAAGCTGTGAAGGATAAGTATGATTCCAATGTAACTAATTAAAAGGTGATGTCTAAAAAAGATGCTTATCACAGCAGTTTAAATGAAAAAGAGAGCTAATCTATTTATGTTCTAATTTTATCAACATCTAGAAACACAATTTATCTCAAAAATCACTTATCTATCCAAAACATAAATTTCTCTCAGACTCCTAGTAGAAGGATGTTTTCTCCTCATTCATAATCTTTTGGCATGGCTCACGGTTTGGTTTGGTTTGCTTTACTCCAAAATACCTTTCCTTTAGACCACCCCATCTTCTCTAGCATCCTCTGGCCAAACTTGGAATCATCATTACTCCACGCAGTGTTTCTTGGATCCACAGCCCACTTCTGCTTCCGCCGACCTATAAATTAAAAAGTCTCATCAACAACTTAAGGTTCAAACCAGAGATACAAGGATACACACACCTGCACACAGGACCTGCATGGGCTTCAGTGAATACAGAGTAGATCCAACACCCAGTGGAATGCCAACAACTGGCTCAAGTCCCCTGGTCTGCATTATTAACATACAAATTGACCTCTAAGAGTTAGCTGTTCCCTCTAAATGTGATACACTACAAACAACACTTGATGTGTCATCAGTCGGGCCTTCACATTTACCTGTGGGCAGCGACTAAAAACACCTGTCAAGGCCAGCATTATTACCACAGCAACAGAGGCCCTCATCACAGCTCTCACTGCCACTCAGTATGTGCCAAATGCTATAATGTATTAGATCCTGTTTTCATGGTAATCCTGTGAAGGGAGATATTCTCATCTGTACCATTCAGACGATAAAATCTGAGTCAGAGAGAAAGAAATTGCCTAATGTCCCCAAGCAAAAACCAAATCCCTTATAAAACGTTAACATCCTACTGACTTCAAAGCTTTTCTTAATCCACAATTTACCATTGATGTTAAGATCTTAGGGACTGCCAACTGTACCTTCACATACATGACCTTAAGATAGTTACCATACTCTTCCTTCTCATTCTGAACATCTGAAAGAAATTACTTTTCTCTTTTGGCACTGCATTGATATTCTACTGCATTATAGTTATTTATATCAGTCTTTTATGTTTCTTATTACACCATAACCTTCTTAAGAGTGATATTCATTTCTTGTCTTTCTTATATCTCATTACAAGAAATAAAAATAGAAAAAAAAACCACTTTGCCCATATTTGGCACTCAATAAATATGTAAATAAATACATGAATGAATAAAAAAGAAAGAAAAGGAGGAAGGAAAAGGAAAAAGGAAAAAAAAGAAAAAGTAACATAACTGAATCAAGGGACCTGCTTTGAGTCTCATTAAAGTATTCTTTTAGAAGCAAATAAACAACCAACCACCAGAAATTGTTCACCGCCTGCATCAATCCAACACATTGACTCTCAACAGCCTCCTCTGACCTTAGCAGTTTAATAACATGATTTAAAACAGCATCCAGTCAAAGGGGCATATTGTGCTGCACAAAAAAAATCAATTGAGACCTTTAACTACGGGCACCCTGGCAAAAGAAACCCATTAAAGCATGTAAGCAGAAAAAGTTTACTTACAAAGCAAAATACATTGGACTCAAATTTATAGTGTTCTACAAGAAAAAGATGATCCCAAAAAATGTTCCATATGGCTAAGTTACCATTTGACTTACCTAGGTAAATATTCAGCATAGCACTGTCTCTGCTAATGAACAGCATACCAGAGATAAGCCTTATTAACCAGTATCCATTATGCATGCTGGTTAGTGGTGTGTTGGAGTCCATATTTCTACACTGTGCTTGCCAGGGGTCTTGACTGAGGCCTGGACGAGGAGTCAGTTCTGAGAAGATTAGCCCACTCTCTATAGATGCCTCTAGTCCCCGTTGCCTGTTTATGATATGTTCCCTATTTCCCTGCAACATTTCCTCATTCTAGTGTTGTACAAGTTTTCAAGTTTGAGAAATCCTATCAAGAAGACTATCTCTGTGCACAGTATGTGCACAAGACCCTAGATTACATCCAGCACACCAAAAGATAGCAACGGTGGTGGTGGGGGGGGGCTGTCTCTGGCCCAATCTGACTGACTCACCCCATCTGCTCTGTGCTCAGATGTCAGCCTTGTTAAGACTGTGTGCAAAAAAGAGCCAAGAGCAGGGTGAATGCTACCCTCTGAAAGTCTTGCTAACAAGGTCAGCCTCTGGATGGAACCTAGATTTCAGGAGAGTTCCCAACAGTCAGAACTTGTACAAGTGGCTCACGTTGAACACCACTTTCCTTCTGAGAGACTTCCTTGTTTGAAGAATTAAGCTTGTGAAAGCTTGTGCCTAGCCTCTCTTGGACTTTGCCCCATGTGTCTTTTCCCTTTCCTTCTTGGTTTAGTATCCTTTAGCTCTAATAAACCTGAATCATGTGACTATGTGCTGAGTCATCTACCTGAATTCCAGTGAATACTAATCCGTAGGTGGGCTTGAGGACCCTGAGACAACCTAGAACAGCAGTATAAGGGACAGCACTAGGCCTCAGGTAGAGTGGACTGAATCTGCTAAATCATTATTTGGGATAATGTGTTCAATCATTCTCTAGCAGGGGCTCCTCCTATTTGGAGATCTAATTGTAAATGGCTCCACCACGATATGTTTCAGGTCACCCAATAAACAACCCTCTCTACAAGAAATGCAATGGACTTCACTTTCAGTCACTCATGCCTGATAGCACACAGCTCTGCCAGCACCAAGCTTACTGTGAAGAGTGCACTGAGTCCCAACAGCCAGGATCAGAAGTTCTACCTTTTCTATTTTTCAAAAAACACTTTAAGATATTCAAGAGCTCTAAATACACTGCCTATGTATTTTTATTAAAAAGTTATTCAAGGGGCTGAGGTTGTGGCTCAGAAGTAGAGCGCTTGCCTAGCATGTATGAGCCACTGGGTTCAATCCTCAGCACCACATAAAAATAAATAAATAAATAAATAAAAAAGTATTTTGTCCATCTACAACTAAAAAAAAATATTTTAAAAAAGTTATAAGACATATTCAAGATTGAGAAAATTGCATATAAAATTTTAATGCAATAAACGTTAAAAGCCATTAACTATAGTATTATAATTATAAAATGTAATGACTACAGGTCAAAATTTGTCTTAGCCAGGCACAGTGACACAAGCATGTAAACCCAGCAGCTTGGGAGGCTAAGATAGGAAGATCCTAAGTTTGAAGTTAGTCTCAGCAACTTAACAGGGTCCTATGTAATTTAACAAGACCCTGTCCCAAATTAAAATATAAAAAAGGGCTGGGGATGTGGCTAGTGGTTAAGCACTCCTGGGTTCGAACTCAGGTACCATTAATAAATACATAAATAAATAAATAGTTCTTGGAAAGGAAACATCATGAAAAAAGTAATATCTTGATTAAAAAAAGAAAAAAAAAAAGCCTGGTCCTAAGACTGCAAACTATATAAGACTGAGAAGTGAGACTAATAAAATATTTGTCTTAAGAACATGAGGAAGACTAACAGAATAGTATCTGATAATTAAACACAGGCTGAAGATTTTTTTCTTTTTTGGCAGTACTGGGGACTGAGCACCAGGAATTGAACCCAGAGGGAGTTAACCACATCCCTAGCCCTTTTATTTATTATTATTACTACCATTATTATTTTGAGACAGTTGCTTAGGGTCTCACTAAGACTGGCTTTGATTCACAATCCTCCTGCCTCTCCCTCCTAAGCCACTGGCATTGTACAGGCATGTGTCACTGCACCCAGCTGAAGAATGTTTTTGAGAAATAAAAAGAAAACCATTAGTAAATTTAAAAAGCAGAATAAATGAAATGTTGAAAAAAGCCTAAATATAGACCATTCAGCAAGAATAAAGGAAACATCATTTTATTGAAGTGAAAATATTCACTACCTTATGTTAAGTAGGGGTAAAAAGTAGTATACAAAATTGAACCTATAGGATGATCCCATTTTTATAAACTATCGGAAAAAAATCATTAGGTAGTCAAATTATGGGATTGAGACTTTTCTATGCTTCTACTTTCCAATTTCTAAAATGAAAACTCTAATCCTAAGTATCTGACCACAGGGAATGACATAAATATTAACTCAGCAAATTGTAAAAAAAGATAACAAATGTTATATATATTATCATGACAAACATTTGAAAATTTGTAATCCTGGAAGAGAGAGAACTGAAAACATTTTCTCAAAATCACGCAGTTTGAATTACTGATACCTCCAAATAGCACTTTACACCTATATACCATATAACACTCCAAACTGTTGTCAGATAACCATCTCATGAGTTTTTAAGCCAACATAGTGAGAAGAAATTTTTAAGACTCAGAACCTAATCAAGGAAATAGGCATAAACAAATAGCAGAACCAGGGCCAGTGTTCCCGAGTGCATGCATTCATCAAAGACTGAGAACCAGAAAAGATCTTAGCAGTCTAGGTTCCATTTCCAGGTCAACTTTACAGGCTCATAAGAAAGAAATTTCTTTCTATGAATTTCTATTTAAAAATAATGGAGAATTCCTGCTCTTACTGGCAAAAATGTAAAGATGTAGAGATCACCGCATCAAATCAGAAGATTTGATGAACAGGGACAGTGTAAAATAGGGATATAAAACAGGGATGGTGCCTGACCCATTTCCTTTGGTGCTCCTAATCCTTCAATGGTCTCTTAGATAATAGGAACTTGACAGCATTTATTGTGCAAAATCCCTGCAAAGCTGCTGTCGGTCTGTAAATAAGCTGCTTCTTTCTGCTCATTGCTCAGCCAGCACACAACTTCCAAGTTAAGGGCCAGCGGCTGTTCATGACTGTGGCACGACTGCCATCTGGTGGCAAGCAACCTTAGCTACATGTCCCATCCAGAAGTCGGTTTCTCCAGAAAAGAGGAATTAGTGGACTTCACAGAAGGTAAATATCTAAAGCAGGGTAGAGCGCTGCGGCCAAGACTCCAGAGAAGAGTAACTCCAACTAACAAGCTCTTGGACACACACCTCGCACCCCTTAGCCTCGCACCCCCACCCCAAGGCTGACTGCCCGTGTTTGACGTTCTAACCCTTTGCTTTTCTTTTTCTGGGTCCAGTTCATCTTCGACAGTTGGATTTCACAGCCTGAAGAGACCCTGGGGCCCACTTCCTCTCTTTAACCTGGGGAAACTGAGGGCCTGGGAAGTGAAGGAACCAGCCGGAGTCCCGGGACGTCCTGCCTCCCTCTCCAACGCACTGCGTGCGTCCAGGTCCGAGGGTGAGGACCCGCCTCTCTCTAGCCGTCCGGCCGCTAACTTTCGGCACAGCCAGGGCTGAGCCATCTCTGCGGCCGACCGGGCGAGCTGAGCCCTGCTTCCCGGCCCGGACCCCGACCTCGGTCGCCCCCGCCCCACTGAGCGCCGGCCGGCACCTTCCCCCTGGCGCCAGGCTCGGGCCTCCACGTCTGACACTCACGCTCCGCCAGCATCGACATGTTGGGTGCAGCGCGAGGGCCCCGAGACTTGGGCGACTGCTGAACCAGGCCGCCGCGAGTCCCCAGGCTGGAAGCGCGGGACCAGCACGCCAGCAGATGGCAGCGGCGGGGCGCGTGCTGGTGACGTCAACAGCGCGCGACTCTCCCCGACCCAGGGCGGCGGGGCGGGGGCGTGGCCACCAGTACGGGGCGGGGCCATCGCGGAAGGGAGGGGCGCCAGGGCGGCGGGGCGGGGCGAGAGGCGCGGCCGCCCGCGGGCTGGAGCGCGCGGAGTCGTGGACCCGCTGTCTGCCCGCACGCGGCGCGGTCTCGGGAGAGCGAGCTCTGCGAACACCGCCCTTAGGGTGGTGGTCTGTGAACGCTGAGCACCAGGAGTTGAAGGAAGGCGCGGCCCCGCAGAGTCCGCCCCTCCACGTCCCACCTGGGCTGCCCGGGGGAGGTAGCCGGGAAGACGATGGGGGGCCGGGTGGGAGCGAGCGGGCGTCTCCACCGTCTGCCCCGTGGCTCCCAAGTTGAGCAGATTACTACCTCGGGAAAACGTTCGTGTCCCGTAAGTGACACCTCAACAGGGCCAAGGTTTTAGTCTCTTTTCTCCACTACAGCACGCGCCTTGGAGCTTCGCCTTTGTCCCATCCGCGTCTGCGTCCCTACCAGCGCCGAGCAGAACAATTCGAACACTGGCAGGGGCTTCGTGGATGGTCCCAAAAGCGGATTCGTGTCTGTGTCCAGGAGTAAGCGATTAGAACTTCGGGCAGACAGTCAGGAAGTGGTTTTGGACAGGTGACTCTTCTGGGGACTTCAGGACAGTGTGGAAGGAAGCCTTCCCCAGGTGCCAGGAGACCCTGTGTGAAGCTTGTCTAAATGAAACTCAGCTTTTAACTAGGATTCTAGACACTCAAAGTAAACTTCTAGTCTAGCTTCACAAATGTTAGAAGAAATGCCAAAGAATATTTACAGCTTCATTGAGTACCCAGGAAGTGAGGGAGAAGGCAGGGTGCATGGATTTTCACAGCCAAGTGAGGAGACGGCTATCTTGTGAGGTGGAGGACAAGGTGCAAGTAGGCATTGAGACTTAGGAAGACAGGATCACGAAGGCCTTAGGATAATTAAGAGATCGTTTTAATTATAGGAAAGTACTTCTCCCTTCTGTGCTGCTATTCGTCATCTGTAAAATATGAAAAATAATGCCCACCATGTGCACTTGCTGCAGTCATGAAGTGCTGCGTCTCAAGTGCTAGCAATGGCATCTCCCACCTAGTAAGCACCCAATAGGTATAATATTAAGTAAAATGGAAATTAGGGTGATTATTTCAACAAATATTTATTGTTTCAGACATATGCTAGGAGCTAGAGTTACAAAGACAGACAGAAACAAACATTCCTGGTCACTATCCTCATTGAGTTTGCTTTTGAGCAGGGAAGGTGGACGTGAATCAAATAACTACATACATGGGAGTAGAACTGTAACTTTAATAAATGATACAAAGGAGAGTCACAGGCTAGAAAAGAATATAAGATAAAACAAAAATTAGGACTCATATGAATCAGAGCCATGGCCCATGTTGATGGGTGCATACAGAAAGAGAGCATGTTACAGAAGCTCAGAGTGGGAAGGCACTCCCCAGCCAAGACCAGTGTGAAGAGAAAGCTCTGTGTGCATCCTGGTCCGGGGATGCCTTCTGGCTTCCTAGCAGCAATTCTTGCCTGAGGTTCCTCCTCTGTTCCTGTCAAAATTTTATGACATTAAGCTGTAAGCCATCACTAAAGGGCCCTGAAAATCCTCAAAGCTCAACCATCATGACTCATGCCCAGTGATCCATATTAACATTATGATGTCAACAGAGAAATCCAGTTCCCTTATTGTCTTAAAGCTTTTGTTTATTGTCCTAACTTAGCCTCCCTTAACCTTTCATGGGATAGTGGCAATTTAGTTTCTTATATCCTAAGGTATATTCAGAGGCAGCTGGTGGGAGAGGGGAAGATGGTGGGGATGGGGAGAGATGCTGCAAAGGAAAAGAGCAGAAGCAGGTGAAGGGCAATGAGGACAGTAGAAATGGGTGGTAACTGATTGAGTTACACACTTTAAGTTTCAAGGCCTGTGCTGCTGGCAGAATCCCTGACCTGAGTGAGAAAGCATCATGTCAGGCAGGGCCTCCACCAGGCAGGGAGGAGTGGACACTGGAGTCGCCTGAGGAAGTTCCCGGGCCTCACTGTGGACTCCTCTAAGCCCCTCTGTTAGCCTTCTCTCCTGCATCTGCTGCTTGCTGGGTAAGCAGTCCACAGCCCGTGGAGCTCTGCTGCTGTGGTCTGTCCTCCCACAGTGGATTTCCTTAGTGTGGTAATTGACACATGAGCTACCAAGCTAAGTGTTCAGATCTTGCTGTGACACCTATGGTTGTGTCGCCTCTGGTCTGCTGTTCCAGGGCATTGCTGTGAGGATTCCCAGAGACAACTCACCCATGCCTTTAGAGCACTCTAATGGTACATATGGCCACTGCTTGGGGCCTGATCCCCTCCACTCCTATTATCCACGTCGCACATCCATCTTCCTCTGCTACCTACCAACTCTCGATCCTAGGAACATTACTAAATTTCCTCTGTCTTGTTTTCATCCACATGATAAATGGTACCTGCCTCAAAGTTATATACATGCTATAGATTGAATGTTTGTGACTTTTCCCTAATTTGTCAGTTAAAACCCAACCCCCAATATGAGGGTATTTGGAGGTAATTAGGTCATAGGGCAGTGCCTCCATGAGGAATTAGTGCCCTTATAAAAGAAGCCTCAGAGAGCTCCCCCTGCTACTGCCATGTGAGGATGCAGCAAGAAGCTGGCTATGTGAGCCAGGAAGTGGGCCTCGCCCGACACAGAATCAGCCAGCACCTTGATCTTAGATTTCCCCACCTCCAGCACTGTAATACATTTCTGGTGTTTATAAGACTGTTCATCCAGTCTATGGCATTTTGTTATAGCAACACTGACCAAGATAAGACACACACATTGCTGGCTGAATGAAGAGATATGTATGTTTAGGACAGTACTTGGCATGGAGAAAGGCTCAGAGGATGGCTTTCCTGTATCTGGGTGCACACAGTTCTGTGTTGTTTACCTGTTCACCAGGGCCACTCTCTTGATCTGTCCACTGTTGATTTCAGTAGAATAATAGATGAGAGAAAGTCTTGAGGGTTATATTTAGATGTAGATAGAACTCTTCAGAATCATAACACTGTTGAGTCACTAGCTGGGGGATTTTGTTGATTGACAGGGTGGTAAGGAGGAGTCTGTGATTTTGGAGCACAATTACAGAGCACTAGGGACTACTTTAAGAAAATCCCAATAAATAACATAGGATATTTATGATTTATAGGGTTAGTTTATTTATAGCCCCTTTAAAAAAACTTTATCATGAGAAATATTGTTAAGTAAATAAAACTTGGAAAATTGTAGGTACCCATTTTTTAAAAGGAGGCATGTATAATAATCTTCACATACATACAAATAGAGTTAGTATATGCATACCAGTTTGTATGGAAAAGATACCATGTGGAGATACCATTCTAGACTGTTAATACTGGTCTTTTTAGCAGAGTAAGGAATTTTTACAACATGCATTTCTATATTGTCAGAACTTTTAATTAATAACAATACCTGCTTCTTTACTATGTCAGAATAATTTAAATATATTTATTTTACCTATTAATATGTGAAAATGTGTGCTCCCTTGGAAAGTGTGATCTGTCTCTGGGATAGACAGATGTCAGTGTCTTGCCTGGAAAGTTAACTCCCTCTTACCCACGCAATCTGAGGCATGCTGGAAAGCGGTCCCAGACTCCAGTGACAGCAGCTTGTCAACATTTTCAAAATATGTAGATGCAGACCCATGGGAAATGACATCCAGCTGACAAAAAAAAAAACATACAGTTTTGCTCCCAAGGGCAGGACTGCCTTAACTCTCTGTATGGCCTGCAGATGTCGAGTTGCTGGCTCATGGAAGGTGTTCCCAGTCGCGTGCCCTCACCTGCCTCACCAGCCTTTGTCTGCCCAGCACCTTCCGTGCATGGTCTGCCTTTCCTGCGTCCTCCCTGCTTTCCCTTTCTATGGTTTCTCCTCTAGGCATGGCCAAGCTCTTACCGGCTCTCCTCAGGGCCCTGTCAGGGTCATGATTTCAGCCACCCTGGCCTCCATATGCCTCCCAGGAGGGCTTCTGCCTCTGGACCTCAGCTTGCTCCACCCTTTGTGGTTGTGGGCCTGCCTCAGCACTGCCCAGGCCCTTGCGACCTCAGGGCTGCTCTTCCTAGCATCCTGTTCCAAGGCTGGCATCTCCACCCTTGACTGAACCCAACAGGGTTCTGTGTAGACCCCACTGTAGCCAGAGAGTCCCTTTTGGCTTCTAGGAGGGGGCATGCTGGGAGGGTGAAGCCAGGGGCCTGATGGAGTTGACTCGCAGCAGTAGGGACTAAGTACAGGTCTAGGCCCCATAGCCCTGGGAACCAGGTGGTTCCACTGTGCCACTCACTAGGCAAAGAGGTGGACTAGCCTCTATGAGATGTCACTTCCTGACCTATAAGACAGAGAGGCTGGTGGCTCCTGGCCCAGAGAACTGTGTGCTTGACTGTGAGCTGTAAATGTCAAAGAAGAGGGAGCAGGCGCAACAGTGTGCCTGGGAGCCACCACCAGAGCACTTTGGCTATAATCCAAATCTCTTCCACCATCCCTTTTCCCTGGCCAGCATCCTTGTCTGTATCCCAAAGCCCAGAGGAGTGCTGAGCCTCAGCACAGAAGGCCCTGGGCAAGCATGTCCTCAGCTGTGCCTGTCCAGAGCTGAAACAAGTGCAGGCAGTGAGGGGAACAAAGGGGCTTCCAGGTGGCCTCACAAGTCCTCCCAGGATGCTCATTAGAGAACAAAGATCCCAGGAGCCTCAGTGTGAACTTCTGCTCACGTCATGTGAAAATGTGGTGATGTTAAAATCTCAACTCCTGGTCTCAGCAGAACTCCTGACCAATTCCCAGGTAAGAGGACTACACCACCTGCCTGTCACTCTTAGTGCTGGCTGAAGGTCCAGACCCCGCTGTGCAGCCTGAACTTGACTGAGCCAGGGGACGCCATTTGGTGCTGCTCCCAGGGAGAAAGACTTGCTGCCGTGTTGGCACCCAGCTGCTGGGTCAAGGTGCCTGTTCATATCGCAAAGAAGAAGTAAAGCCATCGCACCTCAAAAACAAAATGATTCAGGAAGAGAGAGAAGGCAGCACTGAGGAAGAAAAGGCTCAGCTTCTGCTTTTCTTGATGTCAGAAGAGGGTGTCCAAACAGGCCTTCTCTGGGGTGCTTGATTAGATGACTGGGCTAGGGGCTTCCTGAGAGTTGTATGTGTGTGTGTGTGTGTGTGTGTGTGTGTGTGTGTGTGTGTGTGAGAGAGAGAGAGAGAGAGAGAACAAGTCAAACTTGACAGCGGTTCATCCAGGAATCCGTCACAGTCCTCCCTCCCCAACTCCAACTGTTGGGGACAAGGAAGTCCAAGCTGCACTTTATGTGTCACAGAGACAAGAAGCCTGCCATCTGCCAAATGCTCATGTCCCCTTCTAAATTTATGCACTGACATCCTAAACCCAGGTTGATGGTATTAGGAGTTGGGGCCTTGGGAGAGGAGGGGAGGAGGCATGAGAGTGGAGCCCTTGTGAAAGCAGCTTGCTTTCTCTCTCTGCTCCACCATGGGACGACACAGCAGCATCTCTGTCCCTGAACCAGGAAGCCCTCACCAGAACCCACATCCGGCAGCAATTTGATCTTGGACTCCAAGCCCCCAGAACTGTGAGAAATAGATTTCTGTTTATAACACAGTCAAGGGTATTTTGTGGAGGCATTCAGACTGGCCAAGACCAGTGACACTTGGCTCAGGTCAAGAATCAGAAATTCTAGGCCCTTACTCCCTAAGAGCCAAGGTTCAGAGGAGGGCCTTCTAGAACTGCCTTTGATGGAGACATTTAGTGAATGGGCTTACTCACTGCAGGAAGGATTTTTCGTTTAGGGTGATCAGTAGTAGTCTCCTGCATCTTCTGTAAAGGACTGAGCTGTTGCACCCATCAGCTTAATAAGAGTTTTGGAAAAAGAGTTTGGGGAAAAAGTAGACCCAAGAGGGCTTTCTGTTTCTTTCCTGGGGATATGTCCCCCAAATTTCCCCTTCATACGGTTGAAAAGCCATTTATTTTATATAACTGGCAATTGATTCATTCCTAAAGAACCGGATCAGGACTGAAAATGAGCTAGTAATCAGTCTCCTAACAGGGTCACATGTTCCTGAAAGAAGAGACTGGAGATAGGGGACTCAGGACGTGAAGGCAGGTACGCTGTGTGTTCCTCCTGGTGCAGACAAACTTGCCCCAGAAGGGATGTGGGAAGAAGGGCAGGTGCAAAAAGTTATAATTTTAAAATTCTGTGGGGGAAGCATATGGGGAGAATGGACATTGAGGGAGATGGGTCAGATGTACCACTTCTTCTTCCAGAGTCCTGGACACCTCCATCAAATAAAAGTTCTCTGCTGCCAAAGGAGTCCCGTATTGAGGTACCCTTTCACAGAAGAGCATGTGCTTATGCCAGGGTGAATTCCTTCCGAGTAGTTTCCACTTTCTCCTGGACGGCACCGTTGGACATGTTCAAGCGTACAGAAAACAGTTCAGAACAACATCCGTGACTGACGCGTTCGCCTGTTTATCATGCGCACTTTGAAAACGGTCAGACTGAAGGACCTCCTTCGCCCTCCCAGCTGCCCACCCTGCCCCACCTTCCACCCACCGCTGACAGACCTGTCCAAGTGAGTATGACTGTGTTCAGTTTTGCGTTTCTCCCAACACGGCAAGAGGAAACAAGCTTAAGGAACATAAAGACCTTTCTTGCTGGATGTCCCTGGAGCTTGGTCTGAAGGCAGCTCGCTCCAGGGATTCACTTGCAGGATTTTCTGTCATAAGGCACTGCGGGGAAAGCTTTTACATCCAGAAAACATGGCCAGAGGTTTTCTGCTCCGACCCTCAGACCCCCGTTTTTAGTGCTGAGTCTTTCTCTCTAGCTTCTTCACATCTTGGCTTCCCCTCCCGGAGCTCTCTCTCCCCTCTGAGTGCCTGCCTACGTTGCATCTTGTGAGTAAGCAGTTCCCTGGCTGGCATGGTATGTCCTTCCTGGGTGGAGACCCTGTGTACATGCACTGTAGCAAGAAGGGTGATGCCTAGAGACCCACCCACTTACCTCCTCACTCCCCTTTACCATCTCCTCCTCTCCCAGGGCCAGCTGTGACCAACTTCCAGGTGCAAGAAGCCTTGGGCCCAGCCAGAGGTCACCTGATGCCAGTTAGCACCCAGTTCTCCACCCTCAGTGTATTTGCCCCTCCCCCGCACTGTGCACAAAGGAAAAGGCACACACACACACATGTTATTAAAATGAACTGTTTATATTATCTCAGTTGAGTCAATACATTATAATGTATTAAAATGGAAAGGTACAAAATTGAAATAAATACTTTCTGATTCATGTATAAATCTTTTTTTGTTTTTTGTCAAGATGACTTTTATCGTCAGCACATGTCACAAGAAAACATTTAAAATGACACCGAAACAATCATTGAAATCATGGTGCATGGAGGAAAAAGGTAAAGAAAACAACCGTTGGCTTGTTTTGGCATGAGACCTTGATACAATTTGGGTTCCCCAAAACCATGTGAAGGGTGGTAAAATAGAAATGCTCAAAACTGACCTAAAAAAATAAACAGGCTTTACAAAAACCCTCTTTTTCTTAACCCAGCCGCTTCTCTACATGGTCTGCACTTACAATAGATACATTCATTATTGTCCAAGGGAAGATAGCAACTGCCTTTCGCTTAAAGAGCTTGGTGGAGAGGCTGAAGGATATGCTGCAGCTGAAGGTGAGAAGAATGTTCCAGAGAACAAAAAAGTCTAGATGGTCTTCAGGAACAGCACTGAGCATGATGGGGGTGGAGGGTCTCTGGGCGAGAGGTGAGGTGGAGGAGAGGGCGGAGTCCAGATCTGAAGCAGCGGAGACGGAAGGATGGAGTCTGGTCGTCCGTGGTCACAATGGGCCCGAGGGTCTCACCACCTGAGCAGCCCTGGGGTTTCCCTCAGCCTGGGAACACTGCTCTGTCAACAAGAGGCAAACTGTGGGCTTTGGAGACGGCGCTTGGGCCCTTTTCTTGCACAGCCCTGGGGAGACGGCCAGGCTCCCACTGGATGCTGCCAGAGGGGCTTCTCTCCTGGTTCTGACGGCTTTTTAGGTGGTCATTAAGGCAGTAAGGACATTAGCAAACTAGAAGTTAAGGGCAGCTAGGTTCAGCCAGATGGAAGGTAAACAACAGGGGAGAAGGGGTTCCTTTGTCCTCGGCTCCCCTCCCCAAGCACAGGAGGCCTCAGCTCCTGAAGCGCTGAGTTTACAGTACACAGTAGCAGAGGGCTTGCCCTTTGGAAGGCTCCATGGAAAGAAGGCTCAACCCTGACTTGGGGCAACTTAATCCGAGTTTCCTCTCTCCAGAATCTCTTCCCTGCAGTCACCCTCAGCTGGCTGGACTGGAAGATGGAAGCACCAGGAGTCATGCAGAAATTAGGTCAAGACCTTTGCTAGACATCATGGGGCCCATCCCTGTGGCCTTCAACTCCTTTGTCCAGAGAGCCAGGCTGGATGCTGGCCTGGCCCATGCTCAGCTGGAGAAGAGGACAAGCCTTTCAGATTCAGGAATGCCTCCCCAAGCAGATGAAAGGACAGCTAGGGACCAGGGGAAGCAAGTCCTGGGCGGTCTCTAGGAAGGGAAAGGAGCGCCTTTGGTCTGAATCACTCACAGGGAAATGGGCAAAAGACAGCACAGGACCGACAGAAGAACTAGGCCCTTCCTCGTGCTCTGCAGTGAAGACGATGGACAGTTACTTTGGAATGCTGTGGGAAGGGGAGATCCGAGAGCTGTCTGTTGTTCTGAGCTAACTTTTGGCAAGAGGCTGGATGATTTAACTGCAGCTGAAGAACTGGCTCTTGGGCCATTGCTGCCAAAGTGTACAATGACCTACTCCTACGTGTGACTTTGTAGACTTTGGTAAGCCAGATGGAAACCCCCTCCATCCTCCAGCATGAGACAGCAGGCTAGAAAGGATCTCTCCATGAGACGCCCAGGGCTGTGGATGCAGCAGCATGGAGACATTTCACTCTAACTACTCAGGACCACCTTAGCGGGACATTCACAGGGACGAGGTGTGTGCAAGGAAAAATGTCAGTCGAGATGGCCAGCCTGTCTGGGGACCAGCTCCCTGCCTGGCCTTTCTCTGGTGGAAGTAATCTAATTTTGGTCCTAAGAAAAATGGGCAACATTTTAACCAGGATTCTAAGAGCTTTAATAATAAATCAGTAATAAAAATCAAGCTATGGGGATGTGACAAAACCAGATTGGCCATGAGTTAGAGGTCACTGTTAGAGTCAATTGATAGATCCATAGGACTTCCTTGTATAATTCTACTCTACTATGTGTTTAAATATATGTTCTAAGTTATCCAAAATACTAAACAAGCCCTCTTAGAGAGTATCAAGCTTAATCCTACATAGGGTCCAGAGTCACCCAGGGAGTCACTGTAGAGATGGTATTAGGAACCAGTTGTCTTTCTGCAGGGATCAGGATCTTGTGGTTGGACTTACATTCTTAAATCAGTGTCATGACTTTTTCAGCTCTGCTCTGACCATACTGAAAAGCAGGCAGTGATCTTTACCCCTCCTCCAGTGAGTCTCAGCAACACTTAACAAAGGCAAATACGCTTGATTGCTTGGCTGGGTTTACAGACACCGTCTGGGGAGCCAGCAGAGCTCGGGAGCCAGTGGCCTTGGGTTTGTATATTTGTGTAGGCGGCGAGGTTTTGTGTTCATCTGTCCTGCCTGTTTGTACATAAGTTGAAGAATATGAGGGACACAGGACAGCCTTGCATCCAAGAGCGCTCATTCTGCTTAGGGGGAGTGGCAATCAAACTTCCTGACAGGTTCCCTGAGACTCCTGACCAATGTCAGCGCATTCCCACAGTGCTCTCTGAATTTTAGCATGGAAGAGCCAACAGGAAAGGAACCCTGTCCCTTTCAGTCAACCTTGACTCTAAAGAAAGTAGGAAGTGCCATCAAACCTCATGAAAATCTCAGCGTGTTTTGAAAGATGTCCACCAGCACCAGGCAGAAACGTGATCAGTGCTCAGTCACATAAATCACCAGGAGTGAATGCTCAAAAGAAGGTTCTTGTGAAGTGTTTGAGCTCTGGGCTCTTAACCTTGTAGAGGGAGAAAGGCAATGACATCCAAGCACTCGTCTCCACTGGTGGCCCTCAGATGGACCCTTTGCTGCAGAGCCAGTAAGTCCAAGGACCTCAGAGGACTGGCTTAACCCCAGCTTGAAGAGGGAAAGACTCATTTGCTGGGAGGTGCACTGTTCTGCCAGAAGCCCTGTGTCTGAGAAACACAGATCCTGGAAATGTCTACCTAGCTGCTTCTAATCCCAACTGTACATGTTGGTTCCTAGCACTGGGGGGAGGGGAGGGGCAATCAATCAGAGTTCAGGATGGGAAAATAGAGAACTGCAAACTCTGACAGTACACAGGAGGAAAGCAAGCACATGGATTCTGCCTCAGCTAGAGAAAAGATCAGATGCAGGGGCAGGGACTCGACTACATGGACTGGAGACAATGCCTACCAACTAGGCGCCACCTAGCTGAAGAAGCGACTGTGCATCCCTGGTCATCCTGTGTCTTTGGACAGGTCTCTGCCCTGAGCAGGTTCTGATACTCAGAGGAGGACAGGGGCTCCTCTGAGCACACAGCACACAGCAGCTCCATCCCTTGGTCCTTAACATCACCTTTACTTAAAGCACTGTGAAGACTGAAGAAAATGTAGCTGCCTGTCTCCAGACACTGCCCTCCCTAATCTTATACACGATGAAACTGAGGCACAAAGAAACCACTAATTTTTATGCAGTCCTTGTATGGATCTGGTGACACTCCTGGCAGAAAAGTCCGGGATCCCGCTTCCTGAATCCTTGAACATCTTCTATTACCTTTCTCCTGAATTCACATTTAAAGTCTGTCTGCCTGCCTATAACACATTAAGTGTACTAATACGTATAAAATATAAATAATCTGTAGATTCCTGCTTACCTTCCTGTCTTTTTCTTCTCCTTTATGTAACTAGGATGGTGGCGGGGGGGACCACCAACAACAAAAAAAGGTTGTTCCGTGACAAGGGAAAAGCCCCAGTACTGCTCAGGGACTAGACCTCGGGAAGGAGAGGTGACAGCCCTGTCCGTGGGGCGGAGGTGCTTCAGATCTGGACTGTACAGCAATCAGATGAGACAGTTCAACAGAAATCAGCAATGGAGACACCTGTGCCAGATGGAGCGAACGTACACAACCTGGTTTTAAGGAACAGTAAATACAATAGAGATAGAGAGATACACGCTATGTTGAATCTTGAGTACTGAAACAGTCATAAATAGAGTTATGCTAAATCAAAGAAGACGGACGTTATTGGGAAGAGTCTGGTCAACAACCAATCACCATTAGAATCAAAAAGTAAACCGGCCTTTTCACTGAGTACCTCCACGACATTTCTCAATGCACTAAGTACATTTTAACCATGCAAAAATACACAAACATCTTAACTAGGTTGTTTTTTTTTTGTTTGTTTGTTAAAAAAAATCAAACACCAACATTATGCATTTTTTTGTTAATTATATTGGTTAAAATAACAGCCACTGGCTGCCAAATATCAGATACATCATATACATATTTTTATACAGAATCTGGACAACACAACATTACACATCAAAGAGAGAAAGAGAGAAAAAGAGAAAGCGATTATTTGTTCCTTTGTGGGTTTGTTGTTGTTCTTGTTGTTGTTCAGTAAAAAAATAAAGTAAAATATGAGGAGCGATGCTAAGAAGGAAAACACTTCAACAGTTAGGAGTACATAGGGAGAACTGCTAATCAGAAATACAGGAGGAAAAGAGTTCATATTTCGGTCTGTTTCTAGAATTTTCTTCACTAAGAAACCAAGGAGCACAACAGGTGTATTGGTTTGGAAAAGCAGAAAGAGCAATAACATCATGCTGTCAGTTTCCCAGCACGTTTCCGCAAAAAAGAAAAAATCATAATCACAAATTAATTTCACAAGTTTGTTTTCACAAATGTCCTCCCTTACCTAGGAAGCTGGACAATGCAGGGGCGGGGGGCAGCTCAGTTGAGAGAGTCCTTGGCAAAGGTTTGGCCAAAACCGTTGGCCTTAAATTAGTTGGAGATGTGATCTGTCACGCAATGGAATGCGAGGTCACCTTGCTCCCTCTAGGCAAGAGTTCCCGTTGCCAGCCAGCCAGCTGGCCGGGAAACACCCCCATGACAAGTCCTGCTAGCAGGGCCCAGTCCTGCCCCTTAAACTTCTGGTGTCAACACAATCTTAAGAGTTCAACCTGGAAAGAAAACAAGACCTTGAACACAAGCTATGGAAGCACTACCGTGGTC